GAATTATCAGTTCTAAAAATTATTATTTTTTATATTTATTATTTACATTAATATTTTTATTTTCGAATTGTCAATTTTGATCAATATTATTTTATAGATTTGTTAATAATTATAGGGAGACCGATGTGAGTTGTAACAAAGTCGATTTCTCGAAAGCTATGAGCTTTTTAAAATTTTGAAAAGCGTATATTTATTACATTCTTGATTCACTATTTTTGATGCAAATTTACTTGACCACCTTAGAAAAGTTTTTGAAATGTATTTAATATGTGTGCAAAAAATTGCTAAAAGTAAGTTCTCGGCCGAAATTTTGATACTTTATTATTCGACACATATATGTGGACATCCACATGAAAAGGGCCCATTTTGGCACAATTGGAGTTATCTATATGGGCGTATTCCTGGCAAAATTTGGAAAATTTTGAGTGGTCTTATAACTTTTTTGGTTGAAAATTCGCTGAGTTACGGAATTCCAAAGTTTAGAACGCCACAAACCTCATTTCGAGAAAAACGGAATTAAAGATTGCGATACCAACTATAATTGTTGTATCTCTGGTTCTTCTTGGAATTTATTCAGATAAGCATTGTTTCCAGTTCAGGGCACCTTGAAGACAAAAAACCAACAGGTTTTAAATTTTTAAAACCATCCCCCCTCTTAAGGAGGATGGTGACTGTTTTTTCGGGACAGGCGGCGAGAGGGGAATTCACATGCTTTTATATGGGATTAAAACTGCAAATACCAACTGTTTTAATATATATTTTATAAGTGAAATATGCAATACTTAATATATTAGACATAAAAAATAGTATTTTTAATAATTCCAATTCATTATTCTTAAAAAATATTTTAAAAAATAATTATTTAATAACGTAAAAAAAATTTTGTAAAAAAATTTTATGAGCATGGAGATCGTGACAACAGCGCATTCCATATGCATGCTAGAAACAGTGTTGGTAAAACTGTATAAGATTTCATTCGTATATGACTACATTGCGACGTTGCCACGTTTCTGTGTATTATGTTAGAGAGGTTAGAAAATCTGTAATTTTACGTCAGTTTTAATGTTATTTCTAAAAATCAGGACAGTCGGTTTACTCAATTATTTTTTTAAATTATTCCAAAAGTATTAAACTTTAAAAGAGTATGATTTTTATAAAAAGTTTAACTTTTTTACACAAGTTATTATCAAAATAGTGCACTTCACATAACACTCCCCATAAGAGCCCATATAAAAACATGCAATTTCAACAATTAAATTCTCAAAAACAGGACAGTAAAAAATTAAAAAAAAATTGTTCTATAATTTAGACATTCTTAACAAAGAGTTTTTCCAAAATTTCAAAAAATTCTTAACATCTTTAATTTGAATCACCATCCTCCTTAATTTTCATAAAATATGAAAAACCGACAATATGGGCCCTTTTCTAAAAAGGACAGTTTTTCTATTAAAAAACCATTTTTTTACAACATTAATGATTAGGTACAATTTTATTGTGTCATTTGAAGAAAAAGAATAGATATTACATTTATTGAAAATTTTTTGACAGTCTCTATTATGAAAAAATTGACGCAATGTCCAAATTTTCATTTCGAAAATTAAAAAAAAAGATTCTAACATCAATATCTCTGGTTCTTCTTGGAATTTATTCAGATAAGAATTATTGTTTACAGTCCAGGACACCTTAGAGATGAAAAATCAAGAGGTTTTACATTTTTCCACTTTTCATTCTTCTAAAGAAGTTAAATTATCGATAATTTAATGAAAACCGCATGATTATACTTGTCAAAACATGCAGATTGATAATAAAAAATAAAAAAGATTAAGAATTTGCTCAAAAATTACTCAATTGCGATTATCTTGAAAACTGGAACCGACAATATGGACCACTTCATGTGGACGTCCACATATTATGTTAATGGCTTTAAAAGTATTTAGAATTTTACAAATTTTCGAGTAAAACAATTTCATATTTTCCAAAGAAAAAAAATTATTCATAAAAACATTTTTCGAGTTGCTCTTTCATATACAAAAGTCAAAAATAATTTCAACTTATAGGTTTTTTGTTGTTATTGAGCTTATTATTGCTCATTTTTAGGGTTTCGTGGCCAAGAGCCAAAACCCTATAGCAAAACTTCGGTGTCCGTCCGTTGTTCTTACGTCTTAAGTTTTAAGTCTTAAGACAACATAACAACCGTTGTTATGTTAATGGTTGACATAACAACCGTTGCTCTGTTAATGGTTGCCATAATAATCGTTGTCATGGCAACTGTTACAATGGCAAAAAAAATTTCAATCTTAAGTACAAAAAAAATTTCTAAATAAATTATTATTTATTTTTTTTGGCATTTTAGGCCACGAAATCTTATGATGTTACTCTAATTACTCTAATTACTCCTTAATTATTTAAAAATTCACAGACGAAACTTTATTATTTTTAAATTTTTATAAAATATGTTATGCTATTATAAAGCTCAAATTTAACTAATTAAATTTACTTTACTAACTGAACTAAGCATTAAAAATTAATTTTTTCATTAAATTATAACATTAATTTGATTAAATTTAAATAATTTAAAAGAGTATCAAAAGCGTCTGATCCTACGCGCTGTGTCATTACTGCACGTTAGTTTCTGCGGAAAAAATAACATGTATTGAGATGTCGTTTTTCCCGCAACAACTAAAGCACATGCATTTCCAGGGTGTCTAACAAGGATTGAGAAAAAAATTCCCTGACTTTTCTTGACTTTTTCCCTGACTTTTTTCTAATTTTATTTTTGCTTTCTTAGGCCAAAAATATGGTAACTGACATATTTAACAATAAATTAGTATCTAATGATAGAGATAAATGGTAATAAAAATTTTTGAAGTTTTGTTAAATTAAAAAAATGTTTAATTATTAAAAAATTTTAATTTTTTTATAAATTTATAGAAAATTCCCTGACCTTGAATGGAATTCTCTAACATTCCCTGACTTTTCCCTGACCAAAAAAATTCCCTGACTTTTCCATGACTTACCTGACTTCCCTGACCGTTAGATTCTGCGGTAAGCAGAATTTTTTATAATTATTTATAATTTTATTTTATTCGAATAATTATTTTGCATAACTTTTTTGTTACCGAAATTATATTTTAAATAATTCTTTATTACTAGAATTTTTATTTTTTCTAATATTTTTTTTTGAATCGTTATTTGACAGAATCAAAATTGCACAAAATTTTCTGAAAAAAAGTTTTATAACAAATGATATTTCCATAAAATAAAAGTTAGAAATCTTAGAATTTAGAAAATTGTGTACATTATAAGAAAATATAATTAGGAACAATAAATATAAATATAATTATTAACAAATATATAAAATAATATTTATCAAAATTGACATTTCTAAAATGAAAATATTAATGTAAATAATAAATATAAAAAATGATAATTTTCAGAACTGATAATTCGGTGATTTGAAGATTATAAAAAATATTTTTTCGCGTTAATAAACATTCTGACTATCGGTAATTCACATATATAATGTTTCATAATTTTATTCTAGACTTTTCATGCGCCTCGAAAGAAAATTGATAACTATTTTGTAAATAAAGAAATATTGAAACATTAAAAAAAGAATACTAACCTCGAAACATTTTAATTATTTTCTTATAGATATTGATGATCCTTATTTTACTAATATATATTTATAATTATCAATAAATGAAAAGATTTAATTATTATTTAAATATTCTTTTATATTCAACACACTGTCAATTAAACAAATTAACCTTAAATGAAAAAGTGTTACTTGGCAAATGAACTTCGTACATTTAATTGTTATTAAAATCTGCTTTCTCTTTTCTTTACATTTTCTGACAAATTGATCTGACAAATTGGTCACAAATCTCATTAAGTGATATTAAAATAATTATAAATGACTTCTGCGAGGTCTTATTCTTTTCAAAATTTTATCGTCTTTTAAAATATAAACCAAAAAAAATTTGAGTTTTCATAAATTGTATGTTAAAAAATTTTTTTCATTCCTTCAGAAATAGGTGGACTGAGAATTTTGGCCGGTACTGTAAATAAATTAATAGTTTCAAATAAATTACTTATTATTGTTTCAATACGTAATTTATTCGATCCAAATATTTTTTTTATTAAATACTTTATTTATTAGCATTAAATAATGGATTAATTGCATTTAATAATTTACTTTACTTGAAGCCATAAAATTAATTGAGTGTAATAAATGAATTAATTGTTTCAAATAACTCATTATTTTGGGTTTAATAAGTTATTTATTTGATCCAAATATTTTTTATTTGCTTCTATTAAATAATATACATGAATTGAATTAAATAATTTAGTTTATTTAAAGCGATAAAATAAATTAATTGTGTCAAATAATGTTTATTTATATCAAATATCTAATTAATTGAATGAAATAAATTACTTTATTGTTTCAAATAACTCATTATTTGTATTAAATAAATTCATTTATTAGAGCTAATTAAATATTTAATTGACACAATTAAGATTTATTTGATTTAAATAAATGTTATTCAAATTATTTGAATCAAATAAATATTTATTAGATCCAAATAAAAATTATTTGCATCAAATATATATTTTTCAAATAATATTAATTAATTGAATCCAATATTTTTTTAGTGTATTATAACAATTTCAATAAACTGTAATTACTTAAAATAATTGTCAAATAATAATAATTAAATTTTAATTAATTAATTAATTTATTTAATTTTAATTTTTTTTTCATTTTTATTTATTTTTTTAATTAATTTTTGAAATTCATTAATTTTATTTTTTAAAATTATATTTAATTTTTATTAAATTTATTTAATAGGTAATTGTCAAAATAGATTATTTTCACGTTTTTCGGATTTCGATTGTTTTAACCTGACGACGCTTCACAACATTGTTTGTTATTATCTGTCAGTTGAATCATGCACGTGCATATTTTTTCTTCGAAATGATCAAAGTGAGTATTGTAACTAAATTAAATATTTAATGGCAATAATATCGCAATTTGGATTTGATTTCAACACGGTCGGCGAGGAACAAAAATTTCGAGATTGAAATTAATTATTTTGGTAAGAAATTCCGTCTTATTGATTTTTACTTTTCAATTTTCATTACAAATATTTTTATCTTTCATGATAATTTCTTTAAATTTATTTATTAAAAATTAATTGAAAATTTATTATAAATATTTAATTTAAATTATTTTTATGATAATTTAAAGGTAATTGTAAAATATTATTGAGTAATTGTTTTAATTATTAACAATTTGAGAAAGTAATTTTTTATTTATTTAATAATAATTAATTAGGTATTTTTTTAGTATTATTTAATAATTATAGTTAATTATTTAATTGTAATATTATTAGGAATTAAAAAGAATTTTTTTTTAGAACATTGAAGCAATCGAGGTTTTTCCTTTATTCGCAATTTGGCAATGGTTTCAACACGGTGAGGGACAATAAGATCGAGATTAAAATTATTATTTTGGTAAGAAATTTCTTTTTATTGATCTTTACTTTATTTTCATTACAAATATTTTTTTGTTTCTGATAATTTCTTTCAATTTATTTATTAAACATTAATTGAAAATTTATTATTAATATTTAATTTAATTTATTCTTATGATAATTTAAAGGTAATTGTAAAATATTATTGAGTAATTGTTTTAATTATTAAAAAATTGAGAAAGTAATTTTATATTTATTTAATAATAATTAATTAGGTATTTTTTTTAGTATTATTTAATAATTATAGTTACCTAATTATTTAATTTTAATATTATTAGGAATTAAAAATAATTTTTTTTTAGAATATTGAAGCATACGCGGATTTTCCTGTTATCGCAATTTGAAATTGATTTCAACACGGTCGGTGAGGAACAAAAATTTCGAGATTGAAATTAATTATTTTGGTAAGAAATTCCTTTTTATTGATATTTACTTTTTTATTTTCATTACAAATATTTTTATGTTTCTGATAATTTCTTTAAATTTATTTATTAAAAATTAATTGAAAATTTATTATCAATATTTAATTTAATTTATCTTTATGATAATTTAAATGTAATTGTAAAATATTATTGAGTAATTGTTTTAATTATTAAAAAATTGAGAAAGTAATTTTATATTTATTTAATAATAATTAATTAGGTATTTTTTTAGTATTATTTAATAATTATTATTTAATAATTATAGTTACCTATTTATTTAATTTTAATATTATTAGGAATTAAAAAGAATTTTTTTTTAGAACATTGAAGCAATCGAGGTTTTTCCTTTATTCGCAATTTGGCAATGGTTTCAACACGGTGAGGGACAATAAGATCGAAATTGAAATTATTATTTTGGTAAGAAATTTCTTTTATTGATCTTTAGTTTATTTTCATTACAAATATTTTTTTGTTTCATGATAATTTCTAGAAAATAATTTATTGATAATTTATTATTATTATTATTATTTATTTATTTTAATTTATAGAAAATTGTAAAATGTTATTAAGAAATTGTTTTAATTATTAACTAATTATATTAATTAAATATTTATTTTTTTAGTATTATTTAATAATTATAGTTAATTTTTATTATTTATACTATTGGGTAATAAATATAATTTTTTTAGAATATTGAAGCAATTACGGTTTTTCCTGTGTTAGCAGTGGTAAGGAGATAGTAACAGGTATACATCGTGAAAGTAAAATTAAATATCCCGGTAAGAATTACTCTTTTATTGATTTTCAGTATATAATATTAATAATCAATGACAAATATTTTTTAATTTAAATTTCTTTATATTTATTAAATGTAATATAATTTTTAAACTAATTATATAACACTATTTATATATTATAATTATTCGTTATATCACTACAATTTTAAAATTGATTCAAATAAACTATTTAATTATATAGTTATTATTTGATAAAATCATATTTAATGAGGTAAAAATATTAGATTTGGTGTAATTTTTTTTCAAACGCCATCATATCCCTGAAGTTGATGTCGAAAAATTTTCTGTTAGATTTTTCGAAATAAATATTTCACTAATATCAACCTTTTAATTACTCAGGAAGTTAGAAAAATTTGCAGATAACTTTTTATCCTAAAAACTTTACAAAAATTGTTTTATGGTTTTCAATTTCTCAATAAAAATATTTTGAATACAGACACACATGCTCATCTCTAAAAATTTTCCTAATAATAAAAAAAAATTGCCCGTATAGAAAATTACAATAGTGTCAAAATGGAAAATGTAAATCTTGTAAAAAAATCGTCAATTTTCGTGTTGATTCCGTGTTTGTCCTTGCTTCTTGTGACTATTAACTTTACTAGATTATTAAACAATATCTTAATATTTCAAAGGATAATAATCAATTATATGTAAAATTAGTTAATTAAACATTTAATTAACAAATTAATTAAGTAAAAATTAAATCAAATAATTTTTATTTTATAAAACAATGTAAGAGAGATTAATATTTAATTAATTAATTAATAATTGAAATTTCAAAATAGTATACTGTAAAAAAAGAGAGTTAAATTTTAACTCCCCCGGGGGGTCTATAAAAGTCGCACCCATTGGAGAGTTAATGCCAGGGGAATTAAATAAAGAGAGTTAAAATTTAACACCCAAATGCTAACTCCCCATGGAAAAAATAAGTCGCGCGGGTGTTGAATGAAGGGAGTTTGAAATTAACTCTCTTTTGGAGTTGATTTTTAACTCGAAAAATATAACTCCCAACTCCCGAGTCCGTTAACTCCCTAATTTTTTTACAGTGTATACACAAAAAACAATAGTTAAATAATGTATATCCAACTTATCGAAATCTGGAGCGTTATTTATTCAATTGTATATCTAAATTACTTTTATGATAGATAAGGTTAACATATTCAGTTAAATGCATTATCAAATAATTAGGCGCATTTAGTATTAATTAATAAAACTTGTACTCGACCACTAATTGTTATACGAAGCAGAGACACCCATCGCAATCGATGAGACTCACACTTCTATATCAATTTTGGTGTCGAGTACAAAGATGACGGTTTTTGATGGATTGAACAGAATTTGATAATTATCTTCTAAATGATTTAATTTAATGAAACTTGTACTCGACCACTAATTGTTATATGAAGCAGAGACACCCATCGCAAACGATGAGACTCACACTTCTATATCAATTTTGGTGTCGAGTACAAAGACGATTGTTCTTGATGGATTGATCAGAATTTGAAAATGACATTGGAGTCCTGGTTATACGGACAACTTCGGTGTGACCGTATTATTCAAATAGGTCCCCTTGACGAAAAAGTATTAATATACAGGTCAGTACGATGATTCTATTTCCCTGCGTTGAAATACAGAAGTCTGCTAATTTTTCTTTAAATCTTTTGAATTTATTTATATTGTGTGAAAATAATTATGTGCTTTATTAAATTACATTTTAAAACAAATAAAGTAATTAATCAATAGTGTTTGATAGTTTACTAAAAATGTTAATGTTAGGTTATAACAACGGAAAAAAGAATCCAGTATAAAGTACGTTTCTGACATTAAAGAGTCAAGCCCGACCCTACACTTCACCCCTCATCATGTTTCAGTTCCGTAACATGGCCTATAACCAATTTCCGTATAACCGTAAGACTCCAGTGTATCATCTAAAAAGATTTTAATGAAACTTGTACTCGACCAATAATCGTTATTTGAAGCAGAGACACCCATCGCAAACGATGAGACTCACACTTCTATATCAATTTCGGAGTCGAGTACAAAGATGACGGTTTTTGGTGTACTGAACAGAATTTGATAATTATCTTCTAAATGATTTTAATGAAACTTGTACTCGACCACTAATTGTTACATGAAGCAGAGACACCCATCGCAAACGATGAGACTCACACTTCTATATCAATTTTGGTGTCGAGTACAAAGATGACGGTTTTTGATGGATTGAACAGAATTTGATAATTATCTTCTAAATGATTTTAATAAAACTTGTACTCGACCACTAATTGTTCTATGAAGCAGAGACACCCATCGCAAACGATGAGACTCACACTTCTATATCAATTTTGGTGTCGAGTACAGAGATGACGGTTTTTGATGGATTGAACAGAATTTGATAATTATCTTCTAAATGATTTTAATGAAACTTGTACTCGACCACTAATTGTTCTATGAAGCAGAGACACCCATCGCAAACGATGAGACTCACACTTCTATATCAATTTTGGTGTCGAGTACAAAGATGACGGTTTTTGGTGTACTGAACAGAATTTGATAATTATCTTCTAAATGATTTTAATGAAACTTGTACTCGACCACTAATTGTTATATGAAGCAGAGACACCCATCGCAAACGATGAGACTCACACTTCTATATCAATTTTGGTGTCGAGTACAAAGATGACGGTTTTTGATGGATTGAACAGAATTTGATAATTATCTTCTAAATGATTTTAATAAAACTTGTACTCGACCACTAATTGTTATATGAAGCAGAGACACCCATCGCAAACGATGAGACTCACACTTCTATATCAATTTCGGAGTCGAGTACAAAGATGACGGTTTTTGGTGTACTGAACAGAATTTGATAATTATCTTCTAAATGATTTTAATGAAACTTGTACTCGACCACTAATTGTTATATGAAGCAGAGACACCCATCGCAAACGATGAGACTCACACTTCTATATCAATTTCGGAGTCGAGTACAAAGATGACGGTTTTTGGTGTACTGAACAGAATTTGATAATTATCTTCTAAATGATTTTAATGAAACTTGTACTCGACCACTAATTGTTCTATGAAGCAGAGACACCCATCGCAAACGATGAGACTCACACTTCTATATCAATTTCGGAGTCGAGTACAGAGATGACGGTTTTTGATGGATTGAACAGAATTTGATAATTATCTTCTAAATGATTTTAATGAAACTTGTACTCGACCACTAATTGTTCTATGAAGCAGAGACACCCATCGCAAACGATGAGACTCACACTTCTATATCAATTTTGGTGTCGAGTACAGAGATGACGGTTTTTGATGGATTGAACAGAATTTGATAATTATCTTCTAAATGATTTTAATGAAACTTGTACTCGACCACTAATTGTTCTATGAAGCAGAGACACCCATCGCAAACGATGAGACTCACACTTCTATATCAATTTTGGTGTCGAGTACAAAGATGACGGTTTTTGGTGTACTGAACAGAATTTGATAATTATCTTCTAAATGATTTTAATGAAACTTGTACTCGACCACTAATTGTTATATGAAGCAGAGACACCCATCGCAAACGATGAGACTCACACTTCTATATCAATTTTGGTGTCGAGTACAAAGATGACGGTTTTTGGTGTACTGAACAGAATTTGATAATTATCTTCTAAATGATTTTAATGAAACTTGTACTCGACCACTAATTGTTCTATGAAGCAGAGACACCCATCGCAAACGATGAGACTCACACTTCTATATCAATTTTGGTGTCGAGTACAAAGATGACGGTTTTTGGTGTACTGAACAGAATTTGATAATTATCTTCTAAATGATTTTAATGAAACTTGTACTCGACCACTAATTGTTATATGAAGCAGAGACACCCATCGCAAACGATGAGACTCACACTTCTATATCAATTTTGGTGTCGAGTACAAAGATGACGGTTTTTGATGGATTGAACAGAATTTGATAATTATCTTCTAAATGATTTTAATAAAACTTGTACTCGACCACTAATTGTTATATGAAGCAGAGACACCCATCGCAAACGATGAGACTCACACTTCTATATCAATTTCGGAGTCGAGTACAAAGATGACGGTTTTTGGTGTACTGAACAGAATTTGATAATTATCTTCTAAATGATTTTAATGAAACTTGTACTCGACCACTAATTGTTACATGAAGCAGAGACACCCATCGCAAACGATGAGACTCACACTTCTATATCAATTTCGGAGTCGAGTACAAAGATGACGGTTTTTGGTGTACTGAACAGAATTTGATAATTATCTTCTAAATGATTTTAATGAAACTTGTACTCGACCACTAATTGTTATATGAAGCAGAGACACCCATCGCAAACGATGAGACTCACACTTCTATATCAATTTTGGTGTCGAGTACAAAGATGACGGTTTTTGGTGTACTGAACAGAATTTGATAATTATCTTCTAAATGATTTTAATGAAACTTGTACTCGACCACTAATTGTTACATGAAGCAGAGACACCCATCGCAAACGATGAGACTCACACTTCTATATCAATTTCGGAGTCGAGTACAAAGATGACGGTTTTTGGTGTACTGAACAGAATTTGATAATTATCTTCTAAATGATTTTAATGAAACTTGTACTCGACCACTAATTGTTATATGAAGCAGAGACACCCATCGCAAACGATGAGACTCACACTTCTATATCAATTTTGGTGTCGAGTACAAAGATGACGGTTTTTGATGGATTGAACAGAATTTGATAATTATCTTCTAAATGATTTTAATAAAACTTGTACTCGACCACTAATTGTTATATGAAGCAGAGACACCCATCGCAAACGATGAGACTCACACTTCTATATCAATTTCGGAGTCGAGTACAAAGATGACGGTTTTTGGTGTACTGAACAGAATTTGATAATTATCTTCTAAATGATTTTAATGAAACTTGTACTCGACCACTAATTGTTATATGAAGCAGAGACACCCATCGCAAACGATGAGACTCAC